GGTAAAAGAAAAAAGGGAGTTGTGTAACAATTTAATAAATTTAAATTATACTAGATAAAAAAAAACGAAACAAATTAGATTAGATTAGAAACTGTAAAAATGAAATAATAATTTGTAAAAAAAAATATTAAACCTGTTAATATTAGACAGCTTAAGTCAACAAGCATGTTAATGCTTTAAAGACTTTTTTTTACGTTTATGTTACTGTAAGTAAACTGAAATTGAAATTGTAAATTAATGTAAATACTTATGGATTTGAATAAACGTATATTATTATTATTATTATCTCCCTCTCTGGTTATCACATTCAAAAGTCGTTGTAAACCCTCAGCACTGTTTGCAATAATGACGGTGTCGTCTGCGTATCTTAAGTTGTTTACGTATTCTCCGTTGATTTTTATTCCTTCTTCAATATTTTCGAGGGCATTTTGAAAGATCTTTTCGGAATATATATTAAATAACAGCGGAGAAAGTACACAGTCCTGACGAACTCTTCTTTTTATTATCAATTCTGCTGTCAGGACGATTGTCTATTTTGATCGACGCCATTTGATCCCAATATAGTTGTTTAATGAGTGCTACAGTGTTATGGTCTATACCATGTTGTGTTAGGGTTTTCTATGAGTTCTGTGTGTCTTACTCGATCAAATGCTTTTTTCGTAGTCGATAAAACAGAGAAACGTCTTTTCGCTAATCTCGGCATTTTTGTAATAATCTCTGGAGGCCAAATAATGCCTCCCTTGTACCAAACCCCATACGAAATCCAAATTGATTGTCTCTCAGGTTTCTTTCGCATTCTCTGTATATTCGTTGATGTACAATTTTGAGTAAAATTTTCTGAACTGTGAGCATCTATTTGCTTTATTTTTCTTGGGTATAGGTATAAATGTCGATCTAAGCCAGTCTTCTGGGAAGATTCCAGTGGTATATATTTTGTTAAATAATATTGTAAACGCCTGAATATTTTCTTCATTGATAAGCTTTATCATCTCTACGCATATTTCATATGGACCTGAGGCTTTTCGTTTTTGTAACTTCCGATGTTAATATATCAAGTATTGTTTCTTGTACTATTCTACTGTTTCTTGTATTCTATCATACTATATCATCTACTAAAGTTGTTGTAGTGATTTTTTTCTTCATATTTGTGACTTCCTTAATCTTTTTGTATGCATTAAAGTATTTCATGCTTTTTTAGTAAATCTCCCAGTTTCCTCACACTTGCTGCTCATCCATTCTTCTTTTGGCTTTTCTAATTTTGTTTCGGATGATTCTCTGGGTTTCTTTATATTTTTCTTCATTGTGATTTTTCTAAGATCTCCTTATGTCCATCAGTTCTAGGATTTTTTCTGTCATCCATGTATTCTTTGTTTTTCTGATGTTGTCTTGTAGTTGTTCTCTATGTTAATTAAAGGTTAAAGTACATTTATTGACGTTTCAATTTCCACTTCGGAAAACATGTTTATGGGCCCAGCATTATTCAAATTTTTCGGAGATTAAAAATTCTATACAAGAAACTGGCACATTTTCAAAATTGTATTTAATTTTTACGGAGATGCAGAGATAACAACCTAATACCAAAGAGCTTGAAGTTACGTCCAGCAGGTATTTTGAGAACGATTTCCGAAGTGGAAATTGAAACGTCAATAAACGTACTTTAACCTTTAATCGTGGTTTATTCCCATTTAAATAGTAATTAATTTATTAATTTTAAAGCTGTCACAGTCAATAAAGTTAAAATTAAATTCTTGACTGGAACCCTATAAATAAAATACATTTATTATTATCGCTAGTAGTAAATAATTCCAAAAGAAATGCCATACTGTTTATTTTGCCATTAAATATTTAGTAAACGACTTTGATAGATTAGATAAACAAACACTGTTTATTTTATAAAATAAACAAATAAGAATAGTTTCTACAAATTCCATGTTTTATACGGATTTCTAAAGAGAGTGCAATAGTTTCACCATGTTTGATGTGTTAATTTTTTTTGGCAAATGTGTTTTGTCAAATAAAACCAGGATACAGTTTTTCTGAAATATGGAGATTTCAAATTTGATGCTTGCAATGTTGCCAAATCTACTATCTTTCTGATATAATTACTCACTTTGGTTTTTTAAAATATAACACTCGAAAAGAGCGAATTACTGTTTTAATAATGAGGGCCACGGCGATAGAAAAACATCTTATAGTGAGGTATCCAACTTGTTCAATGATACTTTCCCAAACCATTCTACCAGCCTTCAGTAAAGATTCAGTAAAGGTACAATATACAATGTGTTACGTTTAAATAACCAAGTAACTAATTATGTCCAAATAGTAAATCTGAGACAACGGAGGAAATCGAGATCAAGAAAGGCGTAAGACAGGGTTGTATACTCTCACCGACCTTATTCAATCTATACTCCGAAGACATTATAAACACAGCACTTTCGGATCAAAATATAGGTATTAAGATAAATGGCATCCGAATAAACAACTTGAGATATGCCGATGACACGGTACTAATCGCAAAAACTTGGGAAGATCTTCAAATACTAATTAACAAAATAGTAGAATGCAGTGAAGAACACGGATTATCACTTAACATAAGCAAAACAAAAATAATGCTAATATCTAAATCACCACAAAACTTCCCTGACATAACCGTGCATGATCAAAGAATCGAACGTGTAAGAAGATATAATTACCTGGGAACTGTTATCAACGAAAATAATGAATGCTCTGAAGAAATCAGAACCAGAATAGAGAAAGCTAGAGCCACATTTACTAAATTGAAAAAGGTGTTTCTGCGGAAGAGATCTAAGTCTAAAACTTAAAATTCGCCTTTTGAGATGTTACATTATGTCAGTTCTCCTCTACGGGATGGAAACATGGACATTGAAAAAGATCGATACCAAAAAGATAGAAGCATTTGAGTTGTGGATGTATCGTAGAATATTAAAAATACCCTGGACAGAGAAAGTAACAAATGTGGAGGTTTTGCGGAGAGTGCGGAAAGAGAAAGAGCTGATACTTACTGTTAAAAAGCGCAAACTACAATATTTGGGACATGTTATGAGGGGAGATAAATACCAGTTGCTGCAATTGATTATACAGGGAAAGATAATGGGAAAGAGATCTATAGGAAGAAGAAGGCATTCATGGTTGAAAAACTTGAGAGAATGGTACAATTGCACCAATTACCAACTGTTTAGATCTGCAGCATCAAAAATACGCATAGCTTTGATGATAGCCAAACTTCGGAACGAAGACGGCACTTGAAGAAGAAGAAGTAAATCTGAAGGTAACTACTAACGGACTGAAGATAAATTTAAAGAAAACTAAATGCATGATCATGACTAAATCTGCACATGCAAAATATCCAATTGACTATTGAAGATACTGCAATTGAGAATGTTAATAACTATAAATATTTAGGAAACATGGATAACATCAGATGTAGACCAAACCAAAGAAATTAAGACACGTATTGAAATAGCACGTACATCATTTATTAAACTTAAAAAGTTTCTTTTGTTGTCGGGATATAAGGTTAGAATTACGCCTGAGAATGCTTCGATGTTACGTGTTCTCTACTCTTCTTTATGGTCTGGAAGCTTGGACACTAAAACAAGTTCATCTGAATAAGCTGGCCGCCTTTGAAATTTTGGTGTTACAGAAGAATCCTACGAATATCATGGATTCAAAGAATGTCAAACATGGAAGTAACTAGAAGGATAGGAAATGAGGCGGAAATAATAATTAACTATTAAAAGACGAAAACTTGAGTACTTGGGACATGTGATGAGAGGGCAAAAATACGCATTATTACAAACTTATTATGCAGGGCAAAAATCCGAGGAAAGCGAAATGTGGGAAGACGAAGAATATCCTGGCTTAAGAACTTAAGGGAGTGGTTTGGAATGCAGTAGTGCAGAAACTTTTTAGAGCGGCGGTCAACAGAGTCCGCATAGCCATGATGATTTCCAACCTTCGATAGAAGATGGAACTTAAAGAAGAAGAAGTAAATCTGGCAACATTTAAAATCTACATATTACAGAATAGGTTTTTAACCATATTACAGAATAGGAATCCCGTTTCTGTACCGTAAGTTCGGACCATCCACTTAAGAGATAAATTAGCCTTTTCAAGACTTTTGGTCTGCTCTGTATATATGTATATACAGGACACGTTTTGAAAAAAAAAAAAATATAAGGGAGTTGATATGTTTGGAATATTTGTGTAATATATTATTTTGTTATTTTGCCATATCATGTTTGCCATTAATATTCATGAATAATGACATTATCTGAAATACTTTTTACTTTAAAATTAACTGTTGTCGCAATAGAGAAAGTTCGGTTCCTTTATAATCAATCCGACCCATCCTAAAAAATACGTGACCTGATACTAATTCTCAATTTTAATGTACTGTAACCCAAATTAGTTTCGACAAAGACAATGTATCCAAAGGTGCTCATAAAGGTATTTTTATTTGAATGGGTAACTCAAACAGGTAAGATGCCAATTATTATTACCTGTTGTATTGTTTAGATAATAATGTAATTCCAACAAAAACATAGAAATAAGTTTACTAATCTTCTAAATGCGAAAAATAATTTAAGAAATTTATTTTTCGGTCCTGAGGCTGTGATTTGGAACTGTTTCTTCCTAAAGTTTCATCTGTGACTTCGACAGGTATTCCTACTGGCAATGGTAGGAGTTGTGTTACTGACAGGATGATGGTTTTTTAATAGTGTCTGATGCCGTGCCAAAAAAACGGCCAGTAATAAATAATAACATATAAGAATCCCGGAAACTGAAAATTCCTTAAAATACGTCATTTACAAAAGAAATTAATTATAAAATAGGTACATTTCTAGTGATACGATAATTGATATGTTCACTCAGACAAGTTTATTAGAGTTGCCAGCTGAATAAACATTTTAACTGATTTTATAAGAATACCTATAAGAATATAATTCCTGAGAAATAACGAATATTTTTTGTTTCAGGACGTGGCTGATGTATGTGTGGGTACTAGTGTTGGTACAATTACTGAACCAGATTGTCTGGGTCCTTGCGAACCGGGAACCAGCGTGACGCTGGAGGGCATAGTCTGGCATGAAACCGAAGGGGGTAAGTTTTAAAAATTGTCGTTTAATTTTTCAGATCTATTTTATAAATAAAGTGCTGGTATAGATACCAGATTTGGGGCTTGACGAAGATCAACTAAATCTCTAGTGGATCAATTTTCGTTACGTTAGTCTGCAAAATTTTGGTCAAGAATTGCTTTTGTTGAAGGCCAGCCTTATTTATAGCCGTATACGGAAATAATTGCTATGGCTCTTCGTTTGATTTTGGTCATGATTCGAGTAAGCATATGATTTTGAAAATTTGTATGATCCCAGAAATGGTTTAAAAGCATTTGTAGATAAATTTAGTATCTACACAATAGGACAAACATGAACAATGTCCAAATTAGAGAGAGAGTGTGTATAACATAGATTTGCTAGATACAAATATGAGAGTTCTTACCTCTAATATAAAAATGTCTTAAACATTTATGGTTTAAAAAGCTATCCAAAGTAACAAACTATTTATTAAAGACAGAGAAAGAGATATATATATATAGGTACAAATAGAATAAATGCGATCAGTACAAATTACATAAAAATTAAATTTTCACTACTAAATACTATAATACTTACTAGTTAACAAGTCTTTCAAATGTCTATGTGCCCTATTGTCCATTCGGGTCATTATTACGAAGATCTTGAATTTATAGATGTGGAGATGTGGCAAACATGTGTATTTAAAGCTACCACGAGAACTATGCGAAAGCTTCAAACACTTCTGGTTTATGCAAAAAGGGCAATACTGTATTATAATTGATTGCTGCTATAACAAAAGCGTATGTAATGCGATATCAATATATCGCTCCGGATAAGAATGCTTCGATGTTATATTTTCTCTACCCTTTTGTATGAGTTGAAGCTTGGACACTTAAAAAAATTCAACATTAAAAAACCTAGAAGCATTCGAAATGTGGTGTTACCGACGTATTTTGAAAATATCATGGATGGATCACAAAACAAACGAACAAGTTCTCGAACAACTAGGAAAACAATACGAAGTTTTAAATTTCATAAAAATCAGGAAATTGGATTACTTGGCACATCATGAGAGGTGAAAAGTACGAACTTCTAAGGAATATAATGCAGGGTAAAATCAAAGGTAGAAGAAGCGTAGGAAGACGTAAAATCTCGTGGCTACGCAATCTCCGTGAATGGTTTGGATGTAGTTCAATTGAACTATTCAGGCGAGTAACCAATAAAATTATAATTGCAAGAAAGATTTCCAATCTCTGATAGGAGTGGAAACTTGAAGAAGAAGAATAACAAAAGCGGGACAAATCTTTGACAGATTTGGAGATCACTGTATAACTTTGTGAGGAGTAAGATTATTTGGATTGCCATATTATGCTGGCACGAAAGAAAGGTTTTTACTAACATCAAAAATAGGTGCCTTCTTAGAGATATTTATATTGAATACTGGTGTAATAATTATAGACATTTCAAAAAAAATGTGGACCTAAGAATTTGAATATTGTCGATTAAATATAAATGTGATGTGATATTTTTACTAGATTTTATGTTATCTTCAAACATTGTTGAAAGGGAATCTCTTAATTCTATATCTGTAAAGTTAGCATATCCATTTTATAAGGCGGAATTCAGACCAATACTATAATGTATTGCTAATTTATTACGGCAAAAAAATATGTATTGCTGTAGCCGTTTCAAGAAACAGTGATTATGGCTAACTTTACGGTAAAGCTAGCATAGTCGTAGCTATATCATGACAAAGAAAAGCGGTACAGGGTCCATCTTGGCGGCATATTTATTGCTAACTAATTGTTGTTGATTGGTATAGTAACCAATCTCCAAAAAGTACTTATCATACCCCTAGCTCAAAACATACCCTCGAAAACCGAGATATCAGCCAAAACGCAAACCGCAAGGAATTGATTGCTAATTTATTGCCGAAGAAAAGTTGCTGGTTTTGCAGGTAACTTACAATTGTTGAATTCTGCTTTTTCTCGGCCCGATACATAAAAATAACCAAAAAGCTGTATTCATGTACAATGGATGATGCTTTATCATACTACTATCATCTTCTCGAATCCATACAATAAAGTTTCCTTAACAGAATTTCCTTGGGTATATTAAATAGCGAAGAAACCAATTCAACTGCCTCCAGCCCAAATAAATATACAGAATGCTATTATTTCAATCGTTATACTTCAAATAATACACTTATTTCAATCGTTTTGAATTTAAAGTTAACTAATGTTAGGTCGCCATATACTAAATATATATACACTCAGATGCAAACAAACGCAACGCAGAAAATTTTGGTCAAATTCAAAGTTTTTCAGTTTTTTTTATTTTTAGCTCTATATTGATGATTTTTTTTAGCACACTGCAAAAATTTATAAATTTTAATTTAGTATAGTGAGTTTTTTAATAAGATTTTGTTATACAGGGTCAAGGGGTTAATGAGAACGTGGATTTTTATCCTAACTTTGAAACATCTCGTAAAACCTTGTTTTTCGGTTGCAACCATGTCTTCTAAGTATTATGTTTTTTGTTTCATGTGGAAATATGGATTGGTTCATTTTTAAGAGCGAAATAACTTTGCCACCCGCAATTTAGGACTTTTCCTATTATTATCATTATCTTTTGTATTAATTTGTAATACGACGATGGGGGCTTTGGTGACTGATATGGAAGGAATGTCATATCGACATCCCAGAAGCACTGTATTTAAATAATAATTAAAAGCATCGAAATGATCTTGGGTTTAATGAACAATGATAACAATAACAAAACATAAAAAAACAACTTAAATGTAAACTTACCCTAAGTACGCAAATAACAAAGAAAAACTACTAAAAAATAACTTAATACTTTGTATTCCCTCCCCTAGCCTCTATAACTGCCTGTACACGTCGCCTCATGCTGTCTATGATGTTGCGAATATCATCTTGCTGGATGTTTTGCCATTCCTCTTCTAGAGCCAAGCAAAGTTCGTTAATTCGCGACCAATATTTCTACCAAGCATGTCCCAAACGTGCTATTGGGTTCAGATCTGGCGAACACGCTGGCCAGTTCATTTTTATAATACCAACTTCCTCTAAATATCGCGTGACACACATTGCAGAGTGGGGTCACGCATTATCTTGCATTAATAGCAAATCATCGCTGATATATTGAGAAAAGGGTACTACGTGATTAGCTAAAATTTGCTCACTATACCGGTGTTCAGTCAACGAACCCTCAATAAATACCAATCCAGTGTGCGCCTCTCGGGATATTCCTGTCCACCAGTAGTTCTCTGCCCATACCATCACGGAACCCCCTCCATGGCTAACGCGGAGACTGAAAGCGCACTCAACAACGCCATCTCGTCGTATTACAAAATAACTCCAAAATAATCATAATTAAAAAAGTCCTAAATTGTGGATGGCAAATTCATTTGACTCTAAAAAATGAACCAAGGCATATTTTGACTTGAAACAAAAAACACAATGCTTAGGAGTCATGGTTGCAACCGAAAAATAAGGTTTTACGAAAATTTCCAAACGAAATTATTTCACAAGATGTTTCAAAATTAGGATAATAAAGCCACGTTTTAATAAGTCAAATATAAAGTTTTATCAAAAAAACTGACTATACCAAATTAAAAATTTATAAATTTATACACAGTGTGCCGAAACAAGTCATCAAAATGGGGCTAAAAATAAAAAAATTAAAATACTTTGAATTTGAAAATTTCTTTTCTTTTCATTCCTTTTCTTTCTTTTCTTTTCTTTTCAATAAAAAGAAAAAGAATTTCTTTTTATTGAAAAAGATTAAATAAGAAAACCAGTTGTTTGGCTCATTTGCTACGTAACGAACAGTTGAACCGAAAGAAACTGCATTCCTCAATTGATCATTAAGGGTCTTTTCCAAATGTTTGCCATCATAACCCCTAACGTCCATGATGATGAAGAGGAAGGGCATTATCTTCAAATAAGAACTTCGCAGGAAGCTTTTTTGCAGAAAATGAGTTTGCAAGTGAGTTTTTCTGAACAGCGCCTGTGTCTGAACTGTCATCTTCAGTGAAATAAAAATAAAATGTCAGGAAATTTCTTTTATCTTTTAAATCCATCCATCCAATGGCACTACAGCCCAAGCCGGGCCTTGGCCTCCTTCATTAAAACCTCTCCAAACATCTCTATTTACTGCTGTTCTTTTCCATGAACGCGTTTTTAGGAGATTTTTGGCATCCTCATCTACCTCGTCTTCCCATCTCTTTTTTGGTCTTCCAACAGGTCTTTTTCCTTGCATTCTTGCGTTTAGTAATTTTCTGGGGATTCTGTTCTCATGCATGCGGGCCACATGCCCTGCCCATCGTAATCTCTGCAGTCTAGTGTATTGTGCTAGTGTTGGTTCAGTGTATTGTTCGTATATTTCGTTATTATATCTAATTCGCCAGTTGTTATTTTCCTTTATTGGACCCAGTATTCTACGCAATATTTTTCTTTCGAACACGTCTAATGCATTGGTAGATTTCTGTGTTATAACCCATGTTTCACACCCATAACTTACTATTGGTCGGATTATTGTTTTATATACCCGGAGTTTTGTTTTCCGGTGTACGTCTCGCGATTTGAATATGTGGCCCATCGCGAAATAGGCTTTGTTTGCCAGCATAAGCCTTCTATTTATTTCGGTTCTTCTTCATTATTTTCGACCACATCCATTCCTAAATACGTGAATCTATTCACGTATTCTATATCTTTTAAATAGTAAAACAAAATAATTTGTTTAATTTGTATTTTAAACGATTTCCGAAGTGTAAATCTCCATTTAGATTTACATGAAATGATTTCATTTTGTTATGAATTATAGTAGGTAAGATAAAAATTTCGCTTGCACCATCATTGTTTTTGTTCTTAACGCGAAGCTTCTATGCTGACGTTGTATTATTTTTTCTCGAAATTTATGAAATTAGCGAGCGACACGAAATAGTTGGAAGAGTCCTTGTACTCGACGAGGAGAGTCCGTCATACGACAAGTAAACTTTTTCAATTTTATTAAAATCTATGATAAGGATATTAACTAATAGCGGTTTTATTTACTTTCAAAAAATGACAAAAAAAAAATGTTAAAAAAAATAAATAAACTTTGTAAATCTATGATTGTAAAAAAATCATAAAATAAAAAAAATAATAAATAAATATTAAAATTACTTTATTAAATTTTAAAAATATTTAAAATTTAAAAATACAGAAATCTTAGTATGAAACTTCTGCAGTACCGCCTACTTTTTTTATATTAATCGCTTACATTTTTTATTATCTCGGCTACTACTTTCAAATAATTAATTTTTTAAATTTTTTATAGGCGTTCTTGTCGTAAACGTAACGTGGAGAGGGAAAACATATGTAGGAACTCTTCTAGACTGCACCAGACACGACTGGGCTCCACCTAGGTAAGTTTGTTTCTGATTTTGGGTAATGTAATCTTATTAAATTGATATTCCCTTGCAGATTCTGTGATTCTCCCACAAGTGACCTAGATAATAGGACACCAAAAGGAAGGGGTAAGTACAGAAGTAGTGTTTTTTTTTATTTAACTTTAATATTTTTTACCTGAATTTACTGAATTTACTTGTGTTTTGTATAAAACTTGGTCGCTGGTTAAATGAAATTAGTCACTCACTTCATAATTTTCGTATGTAAAATTGTTCATCGAGTCTCTAATTTCATAATGTGCTTAATTTTGAATGTTTTATTATAACAACTATTGTTTTTTTTTCTACAAAACCCGTTACAAAAAAAATGTCAGATGATTATTTTCTTGAAATGATCTTTGGCATTGACCCCAAACTTCTCCAAAGGGCTGATCCAATCCTGTACATAAGTCAATACATATTATCATATTACTATGTATGTACACAATTGGATACAAAGTATTTTTTTAAATAGTCGGAATTTTGTGGTCGGAATTCTGGTTTTAATAATACATAATTACTAGTTCCATAATCTCTCAAATTACTTAGTCATTTGTTGCTGACCTCATTACATTCCTTTATCTAATTTACAACTAAATAGTACATTTTTATTAGCTTATGAATTTAAATAAACAAATATACTCATTATTCTTAATTATATGTTCAATTTTATCTATTTCAATTAGTTATTTTCACCAGGAAGGTTATATTGCCACATTGATTGCTAAATTCAACATGTACTATATATCTATCTATAAGTTCAATCAGGCTTTCAGGTTTTGAATGCACAATAGTCCTACTAATGTCAAATTTTGCAAACTTCGAATACTTATGACTACTTGTTGTAAAAAGTAATGGATTTCACCGTTACTTGATGGAAATTCATTTTATATAAATAAAACATTAAAAACTTTTGTTTTCAAAACGTCCACAAGATTCATTATAAATTCTTATCACTATAGTTGTTATGGCAGCGTGCCTTTCTCACATATGTTTTGGTATGTTTTTACACTTTATAGTCTTCAACTGAATAGGTCGAGGAGGAGTGAACTGTTTGCCTCAAGTTCAGTCACCTGTCATTCAGAATTATGTCTGTATTTTTTAATTTATTGATTTCCATAGATTCTAATAAATATAGCTTAAGGCCTATATTTTGTAAGTGAAAAATTTGAAATTCGTCAATTAAAACATATTTATGCGTACGCAGAATATGTTTTTTCTATTATTGAAAGCCATTTTATGTTCTGCTATACGTTTGATAAAAATTTTACCAGTTTGACCGATGTAAGTTTTTGGGCAGTCGCCGCATTTAAGTTTGTATACACCACTGTCTAAGCACTTTCCCTTTATTTGATAAAACTAGGCTTCCTGTTCTTTTTACCAATAATCTTTTTTCCATTATTGGATTTATCAGATTTTCCTTTACCTTCTTATGCATAGTTTCACATAGATATTTTTTGTAAAGCTATTGCTAAATAAATGACGGTATTATATTTTGATTTGATACAGAGCAGCAACAAGCCGCATATACGTATTTCGATCTCTTTAGATCTCCTCAGTACGGTCCTCCATACATATGGAGTAGTAACTATACCGTACTGAGGAGATCTAAAGAGATCGAAATACGTATATGCGGCTTGTTGCTGCTCTGTATCAAATCAAAATATAATACCGTCATTTGTTTTGTTTATTTACTTCATTTGGAGTACCAGAAATCGAATTCACTACGAATATAGGCCATGATGAACGGCATTTGGAGTGCAATTTTTAGACTCCCTTGCCGATGCAGTCATCAAGCTGTTTTCTTCGCAAGTCTTAGGGAGCACGGCGGCCTATATTTGAATTCGATTTCGCCAGGTAGAAATCGTATGATTTCTCTTTTTGTTCTATTGCTAAATGTTTCTCCTGGTTTATCATTTCTAATATTTTTTCGTGAGTTTTTTATCTAGCCAATGTTGTGCTCAGTTAATTTTAAATCTCATTTTACTTTCACAGAAACCCGATCATCAGTGCACAGTAAGTTGCGAAATGGTGGCGGTGGGGCTGGTGGCAATGCTGGGGCCAAAGGCAGGCGAGGCGGAGCTGCAAACGGTTCGGGACCGTCCACGGCACCTTCGTCGCCGACACCATTCGTTCCACCACGGCCCGATGCAGCGAACAAACGGAAGAGCAGAGCTGGAGAAGAAGAGACTACACCCCAACCCGGCGGAGCTGTCAAGAAACCCAAGGCTTCACCGGCTCCCGTCGTTACGGCACCTCCAGCACCTTGTACGAGTCCTCCTCCATCGCCAGTGTTACTGGAGTGTCCCGAACCAAATTGCTCGAAGAAGTACAAGCATATCAATGGCTTGAAATATCATCAGTCGCATGCCCACGGCCATGGGTCCGTTGACGACGAAGACACAAAGGACGTTACGTCGATGTCAGAGAATGATGAATCGAACATCGAAGCTCCTAGTCCGAGTATGGTAGCCGTTAAATCACCAGATAAAAGTCAAGAAAGTCCGTTGACACCTCCACAGCAACAGAAGAAAGAAGAACTTCCATTACTTCTAAGAGGTTGGTGTATACATAAAAAAAATTACTATACATTAAAAAAGTTTTTTAATCTTTAAATTTCATACTTTTTTCTAACACAGAATAGTCTTGTTTTTATATTTAATATGTCTTTTGTTTTCTCTGTGTTACATTTTTGATTCGTTCTATTTTTATTACAGAATTGTCAAATCCTTCAAATTATTTTTTGCTTAGTTCACAGCTGTGGTGTTTTATATTGTTTCTATTGGTCTTTGTAATGATCTGGTCAAGTATCATCATATATACGATTCCGTGCTTCTTAAATCATGTGAATATTTACTAAATTTCCACTATTGATTTGCAAGGTATGCTACGGTCTATTGCTCTTGTTTTTTTTATATTGTATATATAATTCTTAACTCTGAATATTTTGTGCAGTGATCAGTTTTCTGTTTTATCTTGTAAACTTTTAATAATCGAAATCATGAATTAATTGTACCTTTAATATATTTCGTACATTTTTTGATTCTGCTTTAATGAAAAACTTTTCAAAATTTCTGGTACTAATGATTCACGGGACAATAGTAAATAGGCTATGTGCTCAGGGCCTTATTGGCGTAACACCTATGTTATTTATTATTGGAAAACGTTTAAAAAAAGCTAAGACACAGTCTGCTCATTTTTGACGCTTTTCTAGGTTTAGCTTGATCCTTTTTTTAAAACAGGAAAGGAAGGACACTCTAATTGTATAAGATACGTAAATTTGCTACGTTTTACGTCAGATATCATGCAAAATGTCATGTTTTACGTCAAGTGTCACAGATAATGTAATTTGTCACGTCAAATGTCACTTTCAAATTTAGGTACCATGTAAAAGATAAATTACTTTCCACATAAATTGACAGTGAAACGCCATTATCGAAATGGAACGTGTCAGTTTGTTTGGCATTTGACAAGCAACGTGATATTTCTCGTGAAAAGTGACATTTTACATGACATTTAACATAAAACGTGACATTTTGTGTTGATTTTTCTTTATAATTACACTGCCAGACCCCTCTCTTTTTCAAGGACGCCTCATTCTGTATGCTGTTCAAGAATGGTATAGAAAAACGTCAAAAATGGTCAGAATGGACGTTAGTTTTTATAATTGTTTTTCCTTGAGAAATAATATTGGCTGCCTCTAACAATGAGATCTTAAATGCAGCCCATTTACTGACAACACATATTTATTTTCCAATTTGATAAACAAAATAGACATTCCAACATATGAACAATATTTGCATATATCTCTAGTTTTTATTCCTTATATTTTTAGATTAATAAGAATTTACCTTTTAAAATATCAATTTTCATTTATGTAACAAGTTGAATGTATTTTACGTCTCTTTAGGCTCCAATCTGCTGGAGGTACCTAGCCAACCAGGTACTCCGCGTAGCACACCACCTTCACCAGCTACCCCTCAAAGCATACAGGAATTACCACCGGTAGCTAGCTCACCTACTGTGCCTATCGTTGAGCCACCCAAAAGTGTCGTCAAGCCAGGAGTGTTGAGGTATACTTCTCCTGATGAGTATCCAGTTGGTGTTGGTTTATTCTCTGGAAATAAACCGCAAGTGCAGGGTAAGTTAGTTTAATGCTTTTTCTCTTGTAATTTTGGTGTATTTAAAGAGAAGCGCGATAAATATATTTCGTCGCTAGTTTAAATCGACAGAAAAGAAGGAAAGGCAATCCGGGCCTTAGAATAAAGTCGTAGATGGTAAATTTGCAAGAATACGATTATACAAAAGGATAAAAAGTGGTTAAATACCAATATAGCCTCGTTGATTTTGCAAAATCGGCGATAATAGTCTGTCCAGCGTATGGACATGTTGTCTAAAATTCCACTATAACCAGTCCTGGAATAATACCACACGTTGGAAGAAGATTTTAGAAATTATCTCACTTGGTATAAATAACTACATTACCTATAGGCTAAAGGATAGCCAGACCCTGTGTATCAGCAGTTTATTGCACAAAACTAAACACAGAGAGCGTTAAGAAGCTTTACGGTCGTGAATCAAACAGCAAATGGCTAAGTGGAATCCACAGGAAGGCGTTTGTGTTTTTTGTGACACAAAATACAGGACATATCAGACAAGTCAAGGACAAACCAGCTTTTTATCTTCGAATTAATAAATTAAAATACAAAACACGTTTATAATTTCTTGTTCTAATTCTTAAATCTAATTTTATTTTTAGGGACGCCAATATCAAATGCTGGTCCGTTATCAACAGCAAGACCTACTACAGTACCCTTAGAACAGCCTGTTGTTCAACCTGAGCCACCAACTCAACCACAGTCATTTACTAACCAGTTACAATCGCAAGTAGCACTATCTTCACCACAATTCACACAACCGCCCTCAATAATCATACCTTCCCAAAACCCTAGCAACACTACTGGACAACCATTATCACCTCATATGCCGCAGAGCCCCAAGATCGCTCAGTTCAAGGTATGTATATATTAGTAATAATCCGTGGTTTTTAACAATCAGTTATTATCAGTTTCTATTTAGAACATTTTTTAATTAAATTGACAAAATAAAACACAAATACACATAACTATTTCTACTTATGTTTCATAATTCAAGGAGAATTTTGTTAATCCTCGATATTATTTCGTAATTTAGGTTAAACCGACATCGTCATTAATGCCCGACGAGAAGAAACAGCAAAGCTTGAATCAAAGTTGCCCCAAGACTCCAAATTTCACAAAAAAGAAGAATAGAAAATCTCCAGCCGGCAGTCCTCATCCACCTCAATCCGAACAACCTGTTTTTGGCTCTGAACAGAGTGGCCGTGAAGAAGTAAGTAAAGTATTTTCAGTTTTTTTTATTTGTAATCATCCACATCAATGTTACAATGCAATGTTATGAGCGGAATAGTATTTTGTGTTTTGAGTAAATGTCTTATTATCATGTCAGGGTAAAGTCAGCTTTATCGTCTTTACAGTTTATTTGTTGAGGAAATGTCTTATTACTAGGTAAAGTCTGCTTTATTGTCTTTACAGACGCTTAGTATATCTTCTTATGGTTATATCTTCATTGAAGCTTGGCAACAATCTCAGCGAAGTAATTTCTATTTTATGCAGCTCAAAACAGTGAATCCAAACCAGTCCAATCTCTTATATTTTACAACCAAGAATGTTTGCGTGTTTTCAGTCCTCTCGTGCCTTCTGTTTTTCTTTCGATAATTTCAAAAGCTTCTCAACAAGGCCAAGGTTTGTTTTCCACGTATTTATATTAGAAACCAACTCTTCTTATTGAAACTTTCAAGAATCTAATTACGTAAATGATTCGTCCAGGATATTTTCAAGAGTTTTCTATAAATACACATGAAAGTCTTAAAAATCTTAAAATCTTAAAGTGTTTACTTTAAGATTTACGCTCAGGTCTCACAGCCGTTTAAGAAAACTGAGTAAATATAGCAGTGAACGAAATGTATTGATGTTGTTATTACATATACATTACTCATTTTAAATGCTCATCTTCTTTGTTTTATTGAGATCTTACGTCTATATCAGGAGCTATAGTATAAGCATCGAGCAAAAAGATAAAAGAGGGAATCTAATCGTTATAAAAGGAGACCAAAAAAGTGGCCTCTGATGGCGGACATATCGGAAATGCAAAGGCGCTAAATTTAAATTTTCCAATACTTGTTAACAATAGCTGTAAAATATTTTCAGACAAGAAAGTTTTAATTAAATATTAACGATAATAGTCTAAAAAGTGACACAATTGGTAAAAAACTTCAATATAAATAAAATTTCATATGACAGTTGGGACAAACAATAACATAACCAAACTAAATTTGACTTCTTAAACAAGGAAAAAGACTGTCTTTCCTTGTTTAAAGTGGCCTCTTAAGATAGCACCTCCTGTCTAACAATATTTTTGTCCCCACTACCTTTACATTCCCTCTTTTATCTTTTTGCTCGATGAGTATAAGCCACAGTTAGAATGCAGTTCAGGTAAAATAGACAATGTATTTCTTACGGAAGAACCATTTATTTCATCTTCAATTCTATTGCTCTTTCACTGTTCGATTCAAATCAGTTATTTTTTTGAACACAGAACCCAATATTATTCGATATGGTCTGCAATATATCAAATTAAATATCTGTTTAAGGAAAAGGGAGTATTTCAGAAAATACATGAAGTTGTTTCAAATAAACTCTTACAGCATTCATAGTTTTAGGATCCCAACAGTCTTTTTGGTCCAAAAACTTTCAAATGACTAATAAGGAAGTCGTTATTGGTAAACTCTTTTTATTAACCTCACATTGTACATCTATCTAGTGAATTCTACTCGAAGAAACCTTCTTTGGGCTATGGCATGTAAAAATTTTTGAAAGATTTAGAAAAAAAGCATCGATTACGCTCAAAGTTCGCGCGATCGATTGAGCACAAAAATTGAGTCTTTAAACTTCTTAACTTTCCTGTTAACAATTTTTTATATATATTTTTTTAATATTCTATTGGACGTCGGTCTACTTACACGTTTAACATATTTAATTTGCCATTTATCTTCAGGTACAAAGTCCAGCATATTCAGACATCTCAGATGATGGAGCGCCTGTTATAGAAACGGAAATGCCCGATAAGAACAAAACTCAAGATAAGAAAGCTGATCCCAGTCAACCGTTGCCTCATATGGCCCAGTATGGTATGTACCATCCGTTCTATGGACAACATCATCAATATTTAGTACCGCCTGCCCAAGAAAATAAACCCAAGGAACCAGAAAAGCAACCAGAAAAAGTTGTAGAAAAAGAAACCAAGAAAGAGGGAAACGAATATCCCTCAAAGGTTCTACAACAACATTATTATCCATATGGTTATGTTCCTGGATATGCCTACAATATGGATTCAAATTACGGTGGTAAGATATTTTAATTATTTAAATATCTATATCTATTACGTATTTTTCGGTATAAATAATCAACTTTTTTTTGTAGGTGTTCAAATGGTCCAAGATGACAAAATAAAAGAAGAAAGATTAAAAGAAAACCCAAGTCCTATCGAGCAAAATGTCAAACAGCCAACCCCTATCCCTAACCCGATACAAGTCCCAACTCCTGGCAAAGTCAAAGATCCAAATATTAAAGACAAGCATCAAAACGAAAACCATCAAATCCTAAAGGAAAGTATAGAAATTAAAAATCAAATGAATCCATACTTGTACTCCAGGCAACCACAACAACAACAGCAACAACAACAGCAGATGTCACAACAACAACAACAACAGCAGCAGCAGCAACAACAACAGGCACAACAACAGGCGCAGCAGCAAGCACAACAGCAGGCTCAACAACAAGCCCAACAACAGGCGCAGCAACAAAGTCAACAGCAGCAGCAACAAAGTCATCACAGTCAACGGGAAGAAGAAGTGCGAAGGTTTTACGTGTATTCAGATCAGAGGCGCAAAGAATCTCAGCCTATGCCTGAACATAAATCAAGTTCTACTCCTAATAAGGTTAGTAAAATCATGCTTTGGTAGGTTTATAATAAATCTCAAATTCAGCACCAAAAATGTAATAACATATTTTAGACAATCTCCAACATAACAGATAATGCATTCCATTTTGAAATTGAGTATAAGTGTATTATAAATGTCAATCAATCACTGTGCTATCTAAAGGTGCGTCCAGACATGCAACAAAACATCGTATCGTAACACCGTCACGCAACAATTGTTGTACGCATCGAAGTTACGGCATGATCAAAAATACAGGCGCAACAATACATCATCGCGTATCTTAGCAGCAGAACATACTGCCGTTCCGTCTGAATTGTCGTTTTCTAGTTGTGAGGTACAATTGGTACGAAATGGAGGTTGCTGCAGCAGCTTACATATTTATGCATTATTTCGTTAAGAAAAATAAAAAAAGGCGGGTAGAAAGGCGCTGGTGGCAGACAAAGTTGTATACTGTAAGAAAGGCATACAGTGGAAGACACTTACTACAGGATTTAAAATTTCAGGCAATTAGTGGCCTCTACAAAAATTTTACTAGAATGTCTCCAACAGACTTCGAGTATTTGATTAATGTAATTGGACCAAAAATAGGACGAAAAGATACTAGATGGAGAAAGGCAATTTCTGTCCAAGAAAGATTGGCAGTAACAATTCGTTTTTTGGCGACTGGTGATTCCTATACCAGTCTACAATATCTTTTTAAAATGTCTAAACAATCGATAAGTACTATAGTTCCTGAAGTGTGTAAAGCTATCGTAGAAGTATTAAAAGAAAGTATAGAGGTAAGAAACTATTTTATTAAACAAGTATATTAAACACTATTTCTAAAAATATTTTTTTATAAATCCCCTAATTCAATGTCGGGCATATCCAGTAATTGGTGTGGTAAAGAGGTAGTGACTGGAGTAGTGCGACTTGAATGAATCGAAATACTAGAACTATCATAAGTAGATGCTGGAGATGGTGACTGTGATTGTTGTTGAATAAAATTAGATCTTTGGCTATCCTGGTAGTGTTCAAATTGAGAATCTTGTGGCATAGAATTTGTGAAGTCTGACTGAAAATTATGAGTACGGTATGTTTGTAAATAATCCGAATTGATTGAAGTTTGCTTGAGATGGATCCTGTCTGCTTTAAATAAAACATTCATAATTTCTTGTTGTACATCACTTTGTAATTGAGAAGAATATTTGGCCAGTTTTTTAGCCACAAGATTTCCAATTATCTGACATTCGTTTTCTTCCCGTAGGTTATTGGCATTTGCTGATGCTTTGGACAATATTTTAAAAGCTTGATCTAGTTTCTCAGAATCTTCACTCTTCTTTTGGCGTTTTCTAGGTGTTACCTCCGTTTGTTTCCTTTTCGGTCTGTTTTCTATATTCTCTTGAATCTCTTGTGAAGCAGAATTTTTATCGCTATCCGCTAATGTAGGTTCTTCACTCGGTATATCTTTTTCACCTTCACCTTCTTCATTATCTTCAATCTAAAATATTTAGTAGTATCATCTAACTTTTTTAAAATAAATATTAAGTAAAAAAGTTTAGTTAGGTAATAAAAACATTGCTGAATTTTTGACACAGTTGTTTATTTCAATTTTCAGATACCAACAACACCAGAAAAATGGATAGAAGTGGCAAAACAATACGAGAAAACCTGGAACTTTCCTCATTGTCTGGGTGCCTTAGATGGAAAACATGTTGTTTTACAAGCACCAATAAACACTGGAAGCGAGTTTTTTAATTACAAATCAACATTCAGTGTAGTTCTTTTTGCTTTAGTGGATGCTAATTACAACTTTTTGTATGTCAATGCTGGAGGCCAAGGAAGAATTTCAGATGGTGGTATCTTTAAAAATTGCTCTCTTTACAAAAAATTAGTACAAAATAATTTAAATTTTCCCGAACCGGAAGCTTTGGATGGCATGCCACGGAAAATTCCCTACTTTTTTATTGGAGACGAGGCATTTGCTTTAACTGATTCATTAATGAAACCGTTTTCGGGAATACATGCGAAAGGATCACCACGAAGAGTGTTTAATTATAGATTATCTCGCGCACGAAGAACTGTCGAAAATGTATTTGGCATTACCTCAGCCGTTTTTAGGGTACTTCGTAAACCAATGTTGCTTGAACCTAAGAAGGCCGAATTAATTATAATGGCAATAGCTCATCTACATAATTTTTTAAAGAAAAGTTCCACATCTGCTGCTCTGTATACGCCACGTGAAGCTTTCGATACAGAAAATGAAGGAACGCTTATAGAAGGAACCTATAAAACTATAACCAATGGAACCATGTCCTCATTACTTCCAATTAGAAATGTTCCCAGAAAACCCACCGCAAATGCAGCACTAATTAGAGACGAATTAGCAGCGTACTTTCAAAATAATCATCGACTTTTGTGGCAAGATAATTATAATTAGGTATACGTAGTACTTAATTTAATACTCACAGTGCTTTGTGTTTCTCGAACCTGATTCTTGTTCCAAAGGAATTGCATACTTTTAAATGCATACCAACTACTTTCGTAGACATCTGAAAGCCCTATAAATAAAAAAACAATTTGTAATTCAAAAATACCTAAATAAAAATATATCAAAAGTAAATTAAAATTCACTCATTCAAACTTACCTTTTCCAGTACTGTGACTCTTTTTAATTTTGGCTTTCTCTCGCCTAAGTGCTGATAATAGAGTATTTATTTTTTTTTACATTCATCTACTGTCGTTTTAAATTCTACAGCAAGTTCTTCCCAAGCATCATGCTTTTTTATTTTATTATAATATTTCGGATGTTTTGTATCCCACAAAATATCTTTATTTTGGTAACTATTTATAAAATTAATAGAAGATTCTTCCGTCCACTCCATTACAATTGTTTCAACTAAATAAATACAACGGAAGATAAAACGCGAGTATGTACGCAGACCCGTCCAAACAAGCAAACAAGCGGTGCAACATCAGCGCGTAACATTCCTTTGATGCGACGGCAGAAAACCGACAACCGATGGGACGCCTCGATGTTGCGGTGTTGCGCTGTTACGCTGTTACGCAGTGCGGTCTAGACTTGATACGCGACGGTGTTACGATACGATGTTTTGTTGCATGTCTGGACGCACCTTAACAGGTCTTGTAGACCCTTAGCTGCATTATAAATATAATATAGTATATAAGTATAATACATAAAATAATTCCACTTTTATAATTTTAGGTTCAAATGCCTCAGAGTCCAAGTATAAAACCAAAAGAGATAAAAATGGAAGAAAAGAAAGAAAAAGAAATCAAACAAGAGGGTGTGAAACCGACAATGGAGACCCAAGGTCCACCGCCTCCGCCCACTTCTCAGTACGCTTACATTCACCCTAGTTATATGCAGCAAGCGCACTACGGAGCGCTACCTTTTGATCCCAATCACCCCATGTATAGGGGCATCATGGTACCAGGTCCGTATAGTGGAAGTCCATATTTGCATCCGCCTATACAAAGGTAAGAAACATTTTTAGTAATAGTAATATACCCTGAAGCTATTTTCTTGTGGCATTTTAAATTAATTACTATTTAACTGGGAATAAGCCACAATTAAAGATGAAAATACGTTTATTGACGTTTCAATTTCCACTTCGGAAATCTTTCTCAAAATACAAACAGTAAATTAAACAAATTTTGTTTTTTGTTGCATGGTGAAAAATTCTTCTAATAATTTAATTTTATCTGACTCATTTATATTGACAATTCAGACATACATTATGCATTTTAAAGTAGACGACTTTAAAATGATATTGCCAATATTGTTGAGTTGCGCTCCTGGGACGACTTTACTTATAAAATATTTCATTCGATTACATGAAATCAACTTTAACTTGAGAATATCCGTCAAAAAAAAAATCGTGGCATGTAATTCGTCTTTAAAAAGACAAACACATGACATGATGACAGTAAAATTCTCCTGTTAGTGATTCCATAGTAAATTATGAGGGAAAACAACAAACACGTTGAGATCTATTTTGTCCAAAACCAAACCTAACAATGAACAAGAAAGGACAAAGAATTGCATTTATAAAATACCTTGTGAATGCGATCAGTGTTATTTAGGTGAAACATCAAGGCGATTAAATGTTAGACTAAGTGAACATCAATCTTATATTAAAAATAGAGAATTTGAGAGATCTCAAATATGTAAACACGCATGGGATAATGAACATAGGGTTCAATGGAATAATTCAAATGTAGTCCTAGAAGAAACGGATGGTAAAAAAAGAAAGATCAAAGAAGCGGCTCTAATTATGCTAAATGAGCCCAATTGTGTCGCAAATTCCTCGGCAGAATGTAGTAGGATCTGGTTACCAATATTGAAAGAGGAAATAATTAATAAGAAAATACCAGTATTAGTAAGTCAGTAACATATAGAGGATACATCATTTATGTTTTTTAAATAACGAAACATATAAAATCAGAATTTTGGTGTTTATTGAAGGTAAACTAAATGCACGAACAAATACTTACCATGTCGGGATAGTATTATGAGGTTTTTTTTCCTGGTTTTTCCCTCATAATTTACTATGGAATCACTAACAGGAGAATTTTACTGTCATCATGTCATGTGTTTGTCTTTTTAAAGACGAATTACATGCCACGATTTTTTTTTTTGACAGATATTCTCAAGTTAAAGTTGATTTCATGTAATCGAATGAAATATCTTATAAGTAAAGTCGTCCCAGGAGCGCAACTCAACAATATTGGCAATATCATTTTAAAGTCGTCTACTTTAAAATGCATAATGTATGTCTGAATTGTCAATATAAATGAGTCAGATAAAATTAAATTATTAGAAGAATTTTTCACCATGCAACAAAAAACAAAATTTGTTTAATTTACTGTTTGTATTTTGAGAACGATTTCCGAAGTGCAAATTGAAACGTCAATAAACGTATTTTTATCTTTAATTGTGGCTTATTCCCAGTTAAATAGTAATTAGTAATATACTGGTTTGGAATTTTTTGATTTTCAAAAAATACAATGCATCCTTCGACAATTTTGAATATCCAAGACGCAAATGTATCTGCATAGCGGATGACACGAACTAACACTTAGCAGCAACTATCACCTTGCAGATAGACTCTGACAGAATCCACGCGGATGCCAGTAGCGGGTAGCCTTCTAAAATTACATAAAACCGAGACAAACAAAAAAGTTTCCCGAAATTAAAAGAAATAGGCTGCATGATAAATTACTTCGAATATCTGAAACAATATACAAAAGCTTAAAAACATCAACTCATTTTTTTGTTTTACTTGTAAAGTATATATTTGGTATTATTTTAGGACAAAAGTGATCTATATTTCTATTTATTTTTTTGACTATTTATATTTATTCATATCATGTCGATAAACAGGAAAACAGGGGAACTTGTTTATTTGACTAGTATTTTTGTTGAAAGTAAACTAATTATTCATAAACTTCTGCAGGTGCATGTTTTTCGAAGTTGACTCGTTCTAAAACATGAAAATATCTTAATTCTTCAATACTCTTCCAGTTTAAATCATAATGTTTTTCTATTAATTTTCCAACATCAACTGCTTTTTCTTGTTAACTTAAAGCACGTGGTCCAAGAGATTTATTTATATGAGCGGTTTCAACATCCTATCTCCTGACGCATTGCTACAAAGTACGTAATAATGTTACTCGATATTTACTTTCTTTATGTCCACTTGCAGTTTTTTCATCTATACGATGTAAGTACGGTTAGGCATTTTTTCCAATACCCATTAGGCATTTTTTTTCCAGTCCCGTTGTATCAGCGTTAAATACTTGATCAGCACAATATTCCCCATCTTCAATAATTTTTGCTAGCTCCTGTGGAAATGTTTTTGCTGCTGCTTTATCTGCTGTAGTACTCTCTCCCGCGATCTTGATATTATGAAATGCATTTCTCTTTATCCCATCGCCCCATAGCCGTCCTTTGCCAGCTGAAAATTTTTTACCAGCTTGGGAAGTGGAATTTGGTGGCTCTGACTATTGCATTAACCCATAAAACTGAAAATCTTTTTCCTGAATTAAATAACCACTTCTTCTTTGAGTCTTCCACAGGAATTCTTCTTTGAATTAGTTCCTCAATCCAAATTGCGATGGCTCTTTGTGTTCTTTCTAATAATATATCCCTTGAGTAAGATAAAAATTTGGTGCTTAATTTTGTATCTGAAATTATAGATTTTCTTATAGCAACTTCATTCTTTTAAGTTGCTCTTAGAGTTGATTCTTCTCCAATTGCCGTAGATTCTTCTCCTTTTTATAAGCGATCTAAAATTGCAATTTTCGTTTCCAACAAAATTGATTGTCTTTAATGTTTTTTTTCTTCATTGGGCCCAAATCATCAAGTTTTGGTCATTGATGATTAAATTTGTGTCAACATTTCCAGCTCTCATTGGGCCAAATAAAATCTAAAAAAAAGAAATAAAAAAAAATAGACGATATTGAGATGGCAAAAACCTCTTCTAATGAAAAATAAAACTTTACGACATTCACTTGAAATGTTTCAGTCCGAAAACCGTGCTGCTTATTATACTGCAACTTGGAACCAGCAAAATTTTAAACAACTTGTTACAAAACGAAGCACTGCTAAGAGAAAAATTATTTTAAAACAATAACGGGTTGTAGTCAGGTTTAATCATATGGGTATAATTGGGCTAATTGATGCGCTGATTCCTAATATATCTATTTAGTCTTTCCATTTCTTTATGCACCTTTCCAACGTGGTGTAGACTTCTTACATTCCTATTACGTTCTTCCATACACCATTGTATCATCCAAAGTCGTTTCGATTTAAAACGACCAGGTTTAGCGGCATTTATCATAACTGTTTATCCACTAACGTTATTTATTCAATATGTATTCTATTATGAATTACACTCCTCATTCGATTTGGCATTAAATTGATCAAATTCTGGATGTCGTTTTGAGGAAAAGCTTTCCATTCTTCCATGAGCGCCAACCGAAGCTACTTACGATTTATTGGACTAGATAATGTGTTTCTTACCCTTCGGCAAAGGGCATTACAGGCTCGTCTAGAATTTCAGTAATGTATCGGTGTGCATTCAACGCTCCTCTATCTATAAATACGAGATGAGTACGGCCCTCGAATGAAATGCCTGCTCAAAACATTACCGAACCTCCTCCAAAAGCAACACGTACTCGTCGAACACAAGTAGCATATTGTTCCCTACGTCTTCTGTATGTTTTGATGTGACTATTTGAGCCATAAAGAACCATCCTGGATCACTAAACAAAACATTTTTCTCAGCCATAGTTCTATCAATCTAGCAAATTTCTCAGCCATAGTTTTTAATTTAAAAATTGAACAAGTTTACTCTTCGAACAACTGTACACTATACCCTGACCGCTTAAAACATGGAATCCAAGGTCGCATGATCACTGAATGCAAGCATCGACAGGCGCTCAAAACTAGACCTTCCGAGAAACTGTTTACACCGTCATTGTTTGTGTCATGATACTATAACTTAAATGTTTTATGTATCATGATTTGTGTTTCACTTCCGCTGGCTGGTGAATTTTGTGAAAATGTTTAAATGTGATCTAAATCAATAACCTGTAAAAAACGGTATAAATATATTATAGCGGGATTGTTAGTTCGTTTTTTTTGAGCGGTGTAAACGTGGGAAAAGTGATAAAATAGGGAGAGGAATATTTAAGAGTGCGTGCCATTCACGTGATCATTCCATCTTTTCAGCGGCTCAACTATAGTGAAAGGTTTTTGAAAAACAGAATAGCCATATTCCAAGAAAAATAAGTTACAAACAACACGTGCATTATCTCCGAAGTCGTGAAACTGATCAATTCTGCAAACTTATTACCTTTAATTGACCTGTCGGCATCATTTGTCGGTGCCTAAAAGGCGCTAAAAGTGTTTCTGCATTGCGGAAATTTAGTTACAATAGAATAAATTGTATCAAATTAAAGTTATTGAACAATTCTTAAAAAATTCTAGGTGGCCTCTTTTTCGTGACGCGCAGTGTACTTCATTATCTTTGTTTTTTCACAAAACTGTCTGTATTATACACATATTAAAAAGTTTTTTTGTAATTTTTAGGTACCATGCTCCTGAAGACTTGTCTCGAGCTCCACCTCCGACTAAAGCTCTCGACATGCTGCAGCATCACGCTCAATACTACTCTTCCCATAAAATCCACGAACTCCAGGAACGAGCTATAAAGTCGCCGACACCGAAAACTTCCATGGCGAGTTCTAGTCCATCGACGAATAATCCCGTTAGCGGAGCAGGAGGTGGGGGAGGCGGCGGTCCACCACCTCCCGGTCCACCATCTGCCCAAGTACAGATGAACGCCCCACCGACCTCTCAGCCAGGTGGTGTAGCACCAACGAGTGGCAAGCAAACACCCGGCGAAGGAAAGGAATCGAGATCTCCGCCTCCACAGAGGCACGTACATACACACCACCATACACACGTTGGACTTGGATATCCAATGTACCCCGCCCCTTACGGAGGTAAGTCATAATTTACTTTTTTTTGCTTTTGAAAATATTTATAAATAAAGACAATTATAAAAAAAACTAGAATGTGACAATTAGTACATGTCAAATTAATTAGAGGTTATACCATGGACGTATAAACACAGATGGACTCAGTTATTTACATAAAATTGTGAAGTCAAAATTATTTGAATAGGTCACATTCTGAGCACCTTCAACTGTTGTCACGTTTTGTTTTAAAATTTCTTATTCGCGAGTCGCTGAAAATATTATTGGATCTACGTCAAACTTCAAATGCTGTTCCATGTTTGTTTACTTTTAACAGTAAGTGAGGAAAAAGTTATTTTTCGATATTTTGGCTGCATTTTGAGTGATATTTGTGAAAAGTGAAATAAAATAAACGAAATATTTACATCCCGATCTCTCATTTCATTTGTAAGTACATAAAATTTACATTATTTAAGATGAGGAAATGAGGAAGCGTGTTTGTTTACATTTTAATAGGCGTACCATTGGGTTTATTCATGTTCATTAATGTATTGAATAAGATATGAGTTCATGAAATTAGTAGACATTTATAAATTGTAAGTAGACATCATCTGATTAAAAAAGATCTGTTTAGTACCTTTTTAATTTAATATTTCTCATGGATACAAATAAATTAGTGAAATGAATAAAACTCATTTATTTTTCTATGTAGGTTTCCAAATAATATTGACGATCAAACTATTTGGGTAGCAAATTAAGGAGAAAACATAAAGATTTTTTATTGTAGCATTATTTTGATACTATTAAAAAATTAACTTGAATTCAACTATATTTAATTGTATTAATTTTAAAGCAAATAAAATTGTATTTTAATTTTTCTATAAAGAAAGCTCTCGTTTTTTTTTAATTCTTTGAACGTGTTTTTATACATTATTACTACTTCCAATTTTTAAAATCTGAATAATTACCCGCGAGTAAAAATTCAAAATAAGCACGCTTATGCTCATTGCGGAAGCATCACATTCTATCGAAGCTTCAAAACATTGTGTGTTAAAGGTATATTATTGCTGTGTCCATCTATGTTTATACGTCCATGGGTTATACTATTAAATAGAGCTTACTAATTATTCTCTTGATGACCCTACGAATTCGATCATCATTCGAATCATTTGCAAATTGAAGATCTCCTAACTATTTAAATACATTCCATCTGATGTCTGTTCGATCCTCAGTTACAATTCTCGTTATCCGATCTATTATATAAGGAATAGAGTCGGGAATAGTACACAGCCCTGTTTAACTACACTTTCTACAGATATTTCTTCTGTTACTTATCGTAGCAGGCCCTGGTTATCAATACTAAAAGAAGAAGTCAGCTACAAGAATATACCAACATTAGCGGATTCATAAAAAGTCAGAGACACATCTATTATTATAATATTACATATACAACACACAATACATAAACATATAATACAAAAACATAATCCATAAATACACAAAACAATCAGATTTTGATACCACCGCGAGGGTTCAGCCAACACCCTCACAATTTTCACCTAAAAGCATGGGGGTTTGCCTACAAAATTAAGGACAAGTAAGTCACCACCTTGATCATATAACAGCTCACAACCGGACAAAACAATCACAAAACACAAAACCATCATAATTTGATCACCCTGTGGGTACAAACACCACCATCAGAATTTTCAACTGAAAACACGGCTATTTGCCTAAAAGATCGAGGCCAAGTAAGTCAACTGTCAATTTGGACAACAGAACCGCCAAAAATTACTTTCATATAGAACTTTTAGATGTGATCGGTGATCGTGATACTAGCTATAAGTCAAGATGAGGGGGTATTTTTATTATTGATCAAGACTACATTAAGGGAACTGTGCTGAAACCTTTGTACAAATCTATCGAAAAACTTTTTTTATGTTCATTTGGCAAAGAAAATTTTATAATTGGAGGGGTATACATTCCCCCAAAATCCGTAGAACGAAGATATGAATAACACTGTTTATCAGTCGAAGATATATCTCAAAGGTACAATCATCATAAGACATATATTCATAGACTTCAATCTTCCTGCATCTTCGAGGTTCACAAGTATTGTACTTAGCTGAGTTTTACTGTTTCTTGAATTTTTTTCAAGTGAATAATATTCCAAATGAAAGAAATGTGTTTTTAGACTTGGTATTTACAAATTTTTGTGATTTACTAGTAGCAAAAGCTTCTAACAGTAAAAGAAAACAGTAAACGACTAATGAGTCACATTTAATGAACAGTTGCGTTTTGTACAACATATAAATGATGTAACTGATGGCTTTATCATTCGCAACTGCCTGAGACTATCTGTTTGGGCTTTAAGAACGGTTTATTATGCTTTGGTTGTATCTAAAGTGGAATATGCATCTATTGTATAGTCTCCACATTACCAAGTTCATTCTACTACATTGGAGAGGTTGCAGAACAAATTTCTAAGATATTATGCATATAAATTATGCACATGTAAATGATTATACAGATATTTTAAAAACACTCAAGATGAATTTATTAGAAACCCGAAGAGATAACTCTGATTTAGCCATGGACATATAAATGAAGATATATCTTTATTTATACGCCCATGGATTTAGCATTTGTGTTTAAATTAATAAATGGTTTAATTTGTTGTCCTGAATTTCCCCAATCTATTAGCTTATATATTTTCTCCAGAAGTCTCAGACATGTTGATCTGTTTTATATACCTTTTCACCGTACAAATTATGGTATCCACTCACCCATTGAGCGAACAGTAAAAATTATAAATAGGAACAATTTAGAAATATTTGGTGTCTACTTCATCATCATCATCTTTGGCTCGACAATCCTCTGTGGATCTTGGCCTGCTCTAAGATTCGTCGACATTCTGTTCGGTTTTTGGCAACATGTTGCCATCTTCTGATTTTTAATATTCGTAAGTCGGTTTCAACTCCATTTAACCACCTAATTCGCGGTCAGCGAGTTAATAGAGTTAGTTTGTGAGTTTTTCATTTTTTTACTGGTTTATGTACTTCATCCTAGCGCACAATCTTGAACATTTTAAGGAAATGCTCTATATCATGTTACTAACATAATGTTTTTGTTTTTCAGCTGCAGTGTTAGCTAGTCAGCAGGCAGCAGCCGTGACAGTGATTAACCCCTACCCGACTAAATGAGTGTCCCCGTGCTCCCCCAAATACCAGACTGATAAGAAAGGAGCAGTGTTGTAGTGACTTTGCATTCCATAATTTTTCGTCTCTTTTATCGAGTAATGTGTGACACTGTTCTTCGTTTTGATCCCCATTGACTTGATTTAATTCGTAAGAGAACATATATAGCATATAAAAGAGCGGGAATATTTTTTTGACGAAGATAATATTTTTAGTTTAGTGGAAGGATGGAAAAACGTTTTTAGGGTAAAAAAGTAACAAAAAAAAACATACCTGTAAATATTAATTGCTTTTTGTTTAAATTTATTTATTAAATACCCAGTGTTTCTATTTGTCGTAGATGGTTTTACTAATACGATGTTTCGAATTCTCAACCTTTTAATAACGCAAAAAATATTTCGTCTTCGTTGAACAAATCGTATCCCATACAAACAGCTGTACTGCTATTGGATGCAGACTAGTTGTATATTAACTAATTACTAATGAATGTATATAGTGTAAAGGCGTACTGTCTTTGGAAAGTCATGTTTAGATGAAGTACTTGTAGTAGACTGATATATGATACTTGACCTATTACAAATCGAGATTTGGCAATGTCGTTCATTTATGGTTAAATAATTTTTAGCAATTTTGATACTTTTTGGGGAAATTGTTTTTATACAACCAGCAGTAACTGTTTTTGGGTTCATGTTCATGTTATATTGCAATGGTACTTTTTTGTCAGCAGGTGAATAATATACAACTTTTAAGATCCGTATATGTGCTAAAATCAGTATTTAGAATGATATTAGGGCATGAAATGCATCGTTTTGATTACCAAACTCTTTTGAAGCAACGGTTACCACTGCTTCAAATAAAACAAAATTCTTCTATTAAAAAAACAGTCATTAGTGTTAATTTTTTTAACACCATGGTCGAAAGTTTGACATTGCACATTTTATCTACAGATTCTCAGAAGAGTTACAAGTACTTTCAGATATTTGTTTAGAACTGCAAACTTCAAGTGCTTCCACCCCGTACAATGCGATTTTGAGATCAGTAAAATCCATTCTTTACTGTTAACTCTTTAAGTACCAATACAACTGACTTACTTATGTGTGTTATTTTATATAAACACTTGGAACAAAAGCATTTGGTGACTTCGTAATGATTTCTCATGTTAGTCAGAAGTTTAGTCTGACCATAGCATTAGTTTTCGTGATAAGTATTTAATTCTTGAGATATTGCTGAATAAATCTGGAAAATGGCATAAATGTCAATTTTTTCTAAATTCCAACACAATTTTCTGGTCAATTTGATAACGCTAATTACGAATCTGTGGAGATTTTTGTGAATCAGCACCTATATACCAAGACATCGACAATTAACTTCACACCACACCAACAAGAATTATTAAAGACTTTCAACCCTCGGCCTTAGCGAGGATCCTCCTCTTGTTGTCCTATTTCGGCCTGCCGTTCGGTGATAGTCCTAACCCCAGCGAGGTGCTACTCGTTCAGTTGCGAGTTCCCTGGGGGCAGTTCCCTGGTAAATTTGTGGATCCATATCCACTATCACTTATCCCTCATTTTCTCCACCATTTCATTTACGGAATTAAATATTCTATAGGTACTCTCCTTTCCTAACCTTTTTTTGTATCACATCGTGTATTTTGACATCGTGTGTATCACATTGTCCGAATGACCACAGTTAAGGCACTGGCCTGACTCTGCCTTCCTGTATCTGAAAAGGTAACTACGGAAGCAGCCATGACCTGTGTGTACCCATGTAAGGTAATAATCCGTCTGTCTATAATCTGTCTATGCCCACAGTCTACTCAGCTTTGCAAATTCGGGATTAATGACTGCGCCACATCACTTGTTACCTACCTCTTTTCCTGCCACTTGGCGATCGAAACAGATCTCCCAGCCAGCCTACACCTCACCAATGTACTGCTCACTTGGCCGTCACCTGGTCAACACATGTAAGGGAACACCGATATTAAACACCTAATCTAAACTGATCTATCTCAATTAATCCTTTAATTGAGGAACTTGAACATCATTATTTTTGTGACTAATCAACGTTGATTCTGTTGGTCTCTCGTTGCCTAGAAGCCGTATCTTACAGATTCCAGCGTCATCAAATTAATCAGAATATGCACTTTTAGAACAAGATTCATTTTGTAGATACTTTCAAAAAGGTAGGTAAGTCTTCAACCTTCATCGATGATACCTCAGCAACTAAACATTTCCGCTGAAAAAATGTCATTTTGTCATCCAGTACTTGATTTCTGAAAAGGATCTTAAAAATACGTCGCTACATTCAAGATGCCCTAACATTTCTTGTTACCTTATATCAAATATCTTGGAATTTTTATTTGGATTTGAATTTTAGTTTCCAGATTGGAAGAATTTTTTTGTTTTGAAAATTTTTACTATATAAGAACCTAAGCTGATGTTAAAGGAGTAACATTTTCGAATTGTGGTAGTTTTGTAAGGTTCAACCTTCCACTCTATGTAAAATTGTAGGAAAGGTGTAGCTCTGAACAACTTTCTAATTCAATCTTTGTAACTTTTATTTTTCCTTATTTAAAACTACAGTATTGTGATCTTATTAAAGCAAAAGATAGAAAATTCAATTCTCTATGTATTTGTAACTATTCGTTTGCTTAGCAAGAATTTAAGATTTTTTTGGGACAGATTTTGTTTGAACCTTCCTAAAATCGCGAACTGTAAATGTAAACGCCATTGCCAATTCTCTGTATATGAGATACTGTGTATTTTTTAATGTAAACTGTCTTCTTTTATTATGGAAAATTACGAGACCTAGACTTATAATACCGTTTAATTTTTTATTAAGAGCTTCATTCCAGTTTTAGTGGGATGTTTGTATAATTATTACAAAATTTTTTTCTCTCTTAATAAATGTGGTCTGTACATCTTGTAATGTTCTGTAAATATGCCATGACATTTGCATCTTATAAGACTTTGCTTATAAAATAAATGTTTCTTAAACTATTTAAAGATGTCGAAATTTTATTTCCTTTTTTAGTTTGAATATATTAATATATAATAGTAAAGATATTAATATATAATGATCCCGTTCAAACTGAACTAGTTATATATATTATTTAAAGACCATATTTCTTTCTTTACAGATGAAAGATAACCAGTTTAAAACACGAAAACTTATTAAAGAAAAATAAAAACTTATTACCTAGTACCAGAAAAAAATCGTTATCAAAAATTAGAAATTAAAAATATTTATTGTTTTTGTTACTGTTGATATGTGTTTCCTAGTACTATACAATTAGTATTTCCCACTGCCGCATTTACATTTGAACTAATAAAACTATTAGTTCCCTTCTGGTGAAAAATCTTTCAAGGATGTAGCCCTCCATCTGTAACAATTTGCATTAGTACCGTTTTTTGCTAATTACATTAACCAAACGAGTTGCAAACCTCTTAGACAAATAAGCGTTCATGTGATGATAGATTGTTCAATAAGTTTTGTTAGTCTATAAGAAAACCATGATTTTATAGTTTGAAATATAGGGCAGAGATACTTGAATCTAAACTTTGTATTAAATTTTCTGTCAAATCGAAATTCGGATGATTTGGGGACTAAACTTTTATACAATATTTCTAAATTGAATTTAAAGTTCAAACATCGGATGGGATGGGAATTTATAGTAAAAACAATTTAAAATCATCGAAGCTAATTTCACCAATTCCGGCCACAAAAGTACCAGTATGAGCCATGATAAAAAAAGATGTTACTGGAGGCTGTACAGTAGACTATCGCGAGGCTTTATACTCTATTTTCTGTATTTTTAAACTTTACACAATATTTTAAAAATTTAATAAAGTCATTTTATTGTTTATATATGAGGAGTAAGGGGGAAAAACAATCTGAGTCCACAAAAACAGTTTTCATGGAAATCAAACTTTAATGTTTCAAATTAAAACAAATTGTTTTAACTCAAACGTATAAATCGGTAAATTTTTTTAGTGGTACGTCGACATGTTTACAGGGTTTGTTGGTTTTAACACTATTGAAACTATTTCGATATCGTTTGTTAACAAGTATATAGTCTATTTGGTTTCTTATAATAACGTCTTCTTCGGTATCTCTAGCTGATTTTTTTATCCCTTAGATAGATCAGTTGTATTGTTTTTCGAACGAAGTCTACTTTTGCCTGGCTTTGAAAGACTGTCGGGATATTTTTAATGCAGCCGCTACTCTTTTAAATAAACAATAGTCTAATGATATATGTTTTGATAACGAACATACATTTTAATATGTTACCCATTGAACAGATGAAAATGGCTCCAAATGCCCCTCATTCATTTTTTCCAATTTCCAATTCGAAATACTCCCAATACATTTAACACAAACTGTTGGGCATGAGAATTCAATGGTTTACCAGGAATACTCTAAAAATAAAAACCCTTAAAAAATATTTCATATCACTCTCACTTAGTTATAGCCATATTTAAATAAATAAATGTCAATTTTGAGGTTATAATAAATAATATATTCGTCATTAGCTAATAAATAAATTCTTATCCTATTAAATCGAACATAAAGGTAACCGTTAGTCTTTATAACAACTGTTCTTTTAAAAAATATGTAACGTAAAAAACGTAATAACGTAAAAAAAACTTTCTAATAGAAAAATCAATCACCAACCATCGTCTTATGGCTGTCTTTGTTCGATGTATACTGTTGTGTATGTACAGGCCGTTTAAGTTTATCCTTTTAGTTTTTGTGAAAAGGAAAGAGACGTAATATAACAAATAATTCGTGAATTATGTCATATTTGTGCAAAGTTCCAGCGGATAAACTATACTTTATATCACAGCAATACCAGTATAGGCAACATTGAATATTGCCGACGAAATTGACAAATGACCGACAATATTTCAAATATTTTGATACAAAATTAATATCTATTTTTTAAATAAACAATCATTCCTTAAAAATATCTGAGTATTTTATTTTTGTGATATTTATTTTCTTTCATAAACCACCCTATCATGCATATTTCCTATACAAAATAGGTTCGATGTTTGACATCTGCCTCTACTTTCTGTTTTTTCTTAAACATATAGCATGCAATTTATTATTTAGATCGTTTCCCTCCCTCTACTACTTTTCCACCAAATATTCTGCGAAGTATCTTTCTTTCCCATGCTTCCAATGTGTTTTGTATGGTTTTGTTCATAGTCCATGTCTCGGCATAGCATTGTGGATCTAATTATAGTTTTGTATACTCTTATTTTTGTATTACGAGATATATCTTTGGCCTTAATTATTTTCCTCATGACTCCAGCACACCTGTTGCTGTTGGCCTGTCTTAGGTTGATGTTCAGTTTCTTCCTTACATGTCTGATCAATAAGGGTACCTAAGTACATATATTCATCGACCTTCTCGAATTCTACCTACCACCTTCACCTCAAATTTAAAGGATTCCCTGGTGTGTATACCTTTTTTGCTCGAGATCTCCATGTACTTCGATTTATTAATATTAACTTTCAGTCCCATTTTAGAGCTTTCCCGAATCAGTCTTTTTGCTATATTTAATAGTTCTTTTTAATTTCTTGCAATGAGAACCACATCATCAGCGTATGCTAAGCATTGGTGCTTCTTGTATAAAATAGTTCCGGACCTATTTATCCCACTAACCCTTACAATTTTTTTTAGAACTATAGTGAATAGCAATGTAGACAACGGGTCTCCTTAGCGAACACCTTTTTTCACTTCGAATTCTTGCGAGACTATACCGTTGCATCTTACAGCACAAATGGTTTGTTTAATTGTCATTTTTACCAATCTTATTATTTTTTCTAGCACTTGGAATTATTTTACTGTTTCTATTAACTTGTTTCTGTCTATTGTATCGTAGGCAGCTTTGTAATCAATGAAAAGTACTTGTGCTGAAATGTTGTATTCATAGCAATTGATCAGCATGTGTTTTAGCATAAAAAGTTGATAGGTTGTTGATCTTCCTTTCCGAAATTTTCCTTGGTATTCTCCTAAATTCTTTTAGATATATAAGTATATATATATATATATATATATATATATATATATATATATATATATATATATATATATATCTAAAAGAATTTAGGAGAATACCAAGGAAAATTTCGGAAAGGAAGATCATATAAGATATCATCATTCGGGAAATATATATATATATATATATATATATATATATAGATATATATATATAGATATATATTTTAATCGTTTTTTAATTAGTATGGCGAGTACTTTATATATTACCTCTAATAAGGATATTCCTCTATAGTTTGTTTTATCTCCCTTTTTGTGTATAGGAATTATAATCGACTTATTCCATTCTTGAGGTATTTCTTCGGCATCTCATACTTCTAGTATTAGCTCACGAACTTTGTTTATTAAAGCCTCTCCTCCATATTTTATGTTCTCTGCTACAATGCCGCTCTCCCCGGGGCTTTTTTGATTTTTCATATCTTTTATTATTTCTTCAATTTCTTCTCTTGTGGGCTTTGGTATTTCTTCTATTACTATTTGAAATTTAGGAACATAACAATTTTCTTCAGTAGTCACTTTGTCATTTAGCATCTCTTCGAAATATTCTTTCCACCTTTCACATATTTGGTCTTCGTCCACTATCAGGTTTCCTTGCTTATCTTTTACAGTTGCATCGTTCTTCCCTGGTACCCAGTTTTATTGTATTTTACCTCTTTATAAAAATTTTTTATTTCATTTTTCTTGTAATTTTCTTCAACGCGCTTTATTCTATCATCCATATACTTGCGTTTCCACTTTCTTAGGATTCTCTTTACTTTTTTTCGTTGTTCATTTATTTGATTTTGCCTTTATTTATGATTTCCTGCCTCATGTGTCTTTCTTTTTCGGTCAGGTTATCGGTGATGAAGATCTTTTCTCCAGTAAGAAATATGAATTTTTTCGCCATAATCCTTCATTTGTACCAGACATATATTGTTTTTTAACTTCATTGCAGATTCTATTTCGACATCCTCTTTTAGGTGCTTTTGTATAAAATCTTTCAAGTTATTTTTTAAGAGTGTTTCATCTGTGTCGTTTATTGGTAGACCAGTAATTACTATGTTATTTCTTTTCATCTGTTTTTCAATTCTTTCTACTTTGTTTTCAACCTGGGTTAATTTGTTTTTTTGTTTCTTTCAATTCTTAATAAAACACTAAACTAAGAATAAAATAAACTAAATAAACAATAAATGAAAAATACACAATAGCACAGATTAGACGATAGGTTTAATACCAAAGCAACAAACAATAAATAAATAAATAAAGGATATTACAGTTTTTAGTAAGCTGGATTTTATATACACAAAAAAGAACCCCTTTTGTTTTTTTGTTTTATCAAAATATTTAAATACATTAAATATTATTTCCGTGATATCACGTCGTGATATCACGGATGTACACTTATTTTTCACGATGGCAGACATTATCTAAATCACCAGTCACTTTGCAAATACAGACACACGAAACAAACAATTACATCTGTACATGCACAATCATTACTGACAAGTAGTTACGCTACTGACAGTAAGCCAGAATAAGGTTTATGTAAGTGGGCGTGTTGACTGTGTAAGTAAACGAAATCGATTTGTCGTCCAGTGTATTTCTCGGTACGGGTAATTGACATGAATAAGGCGTGATATTTGAATATGTTGGTGTTACCTGTATTGTTACCGAAAATCATATGGTTTTATCATGCAGAATAGGTACCGTCCTATTCTCCTGTGACAAGCTCACACAGTGTAAATATGTAAATTACACTCTATGACCAAATCATATGACAAATTACATGATAAATCATGTAGTGTAAAGTAGACTTAAGTCGATATCTTTACAGTTCTCATTTGTTGTTGTGTTTTGTCATATAATCTCTTGTTGATATTCTGTTTATTTGCGAGACATAACAAACCGTAACCTGGATTTAGGTTTGTCATGCATGCGATACCAACC